CACACACACACACACACACACACACACACACACACACACACACACACACACACACACACACACACACACACACACACACACACACACACACACACACACACACACACACACACACACCACTGACCCCCACCATATTTATGATACAAACGCTATATTCAAACATCTGGGTAGACCACATGATCCTGACTATAGTTACCAATATCCACATCATCTTTCCAAATAATAAAATCCCTGAGTGGACCAGGGAGCGCAGACATCAGACAGACACCATGACTTACTCGATATACGTGAAAGTGTGCCAGGAAGGGGAACGACTTTTTCAGCTTGTCAAAGCGCCGCATCCTGAATTCCTTCGTCTGGATGAGTGTAGGTGTAAAACAAAGTGTGTGTGTGTGCGTTTGAATGGCCGGAGGTGGCTGCTCGTCTCCTAAACCACTACCAGACCCAACAGTCCTCCCGGTTTGACGGCCCCAGTCTCTGAGGGAATTCTAAGTAGTGCACGCGCTCCTCAGATCCGGACCCGCAGCTCCAAACATGAGAGGGGGGAGAACAACTTCCTAAGATCCTGTATGCAAATCTGCCACATTCCATGGCAGGGCAATCGTCCAGTAAGCCCCTTCTTTAGCTTCAACTCCCACCACAAGGCAAAGAGGCATCCATGTAGCACTTCAGTGTGCCAAGAGCATACGCTGAAAAGGCTGTAGAGCGATTACGAGCTGCTGTTTGTAGCTGGGCTCTCAGCTTTGCTCTGTGCCCACTCCAGCCATGTGTCCTCCTCAGACAGCAGTGGGCCACTGATCCAAACTTGCAGAACTTCACAAATAAGTCACTCCTCCTTCCTCCCTTCCTTTTACTCCCTCTCTCTCTCTCTCTCACACACACTCTCTTCCTCTCGCTCTCTGTCTTTGCGCGTGCAGATACTGTCTGTTTGCTTTTCCATCCCTCCATCGAGCGTGGGGCTAAAAATAGGAGCGACTTTTCCCCCGATTCAATTGCTCGTCAGTCAGGCAGGCAACATGGACGTGAGAGCCACAGCGAGTGACTGTCTCCGGTTTCCGATTTTAAGGTGAAACAAGATGCGTGTCTGGTTGGTGTCAGAGAACAGTCCCGTGTGCTTGTGCTGTACGTTTACATCATCTTATTCCTCTGATTTGATCTTCACTCTGTTGTCGTCTCTTCCCTTCTTCCCCCAAGTACCCCTACCTCTTCCTGCAATACGTCTCCCTGTTCTCATCCTATCTTTCTGCCCCCCCCC